GGCCAGGTGCAGTGGCTTACACCTATAATCCTAGCACTTAGGGATCTGAGGCGGGCGGCTCACTTGAGACAAGGAGTTCGACAAGACCACCCTGGCCAACCAACATGGCAAAAACTCATCTTTACTAAAAATATAAAAATTAGCCAGGCGTGGTAGTGCATACCTGTAATCCTAGCTACTTGGGAGACTAAGGCACAAGGATCGCTTGAACCCAGGAAGAGGAGGTTCCAGTGAGACAAGATCACACCATTGCACTCTAGCCTGGGTGGCTAAGTGAGACCCTGTCTCAATAAATAAATAAATAAGGACAAAAAACATATGCAAATAATTCCATTAGAAAACATGCTGGTTTTGCTGGTTTCCAGAGGGAAAAACTCTCATTTCAAGCACAGGCACCTCTTTTATACATTTCCCATCAGTCTTGCATCTACATCCCAAGTTCACTCCTTCAGAACCAGAGAAAAAAGTGCCGGTTTTTTGGGGTCAGAGTTCAATGTTGAGATACACTGAGGAATGAAAGACTCCAGAACAAAGGCAACCTTGTGGTCTAGAACAAGGGTGAACAAACTGCAGCTAGAGGATCAAATTTGGTCCTGCAGCCCATTTCTGTGAATGAAGTTTTATTGGACACAGCTATGCTCATTCATTTATGTGTGGTCTATGGCCGCTGTTGATCTTTAACAGCAGAGTTGACTAATTGTGGCAGAGCTGAATAGTTGGAACAAAGACCACAAGTGTAATATATTTACTACTAGCCCTATGAAAAAAATAATTGCCAGCCCTTGTTATAAGGCAGTGAACAAGGTGAAATTTGGAGTTGAGGCACATAGAGAGTCAATAGGGCCTACATCTGGAAACCTATCCTTTCCCACCTAGGAGCCCTTCCTGGTTTTATCAAAGAAAAGTTGCCAAGTCACTGAGATTCATTTCAAATCCTTTGTGGAACTCAGCAGGATATACATAAAGTCATTAAGTGTAGGAGGGTAGGATAATTCACCTAGAAAAGAAGCTACGGACTGGGATCCCAAGTGTGGATACATACATCACCATCTGCATCCAGTAACTTAATTTATTTTAGTTTCAAACAGAAACCAAGAACAAGTCTCAGTACAATAAATTATCCATTCCCACCCTTCCTGCTGAAGAAGGAAAAAGAGGCTCCAAGAGTCATAGGGAAACCCCTTCCTTTGGAGGGTCCTCTTTAACTGCTGAATAGAAGGAGACAACTTCCCTAAGGGTCTGGACAGACAACTCTGAGGATTCAGGGGAGAGTGCCCCTCAGCACTCTGTCCCTTTCCCAGGAAAAAAACCTCCCTACCACTGTCTCCCATTATCCCACAAGAGGGAGCCCAGGCTGCAGTAGAGGAGTTTGGGAATAGTACATAGAAGTGGGTGATCTCTTTCTAGATACAGATCTTATGGCTCCAAACAGTGCCTGCGGTTATCCCTCAAGGGAGAGGAGTGGTGAAACTATAGGGACCCCCTAGCCAAAAGGAGTATGAATCAGGGTTAAAGGGGCTCTGGAGTTGAGAAGTGGGAGGAGCAATACAGTGCGTTTCATCTTAGTCCATTCAGGTGTCTAAGGAGCAGAAGAGGAGTGGCAGCTTTCCCCCAAGAACCTCCAATTGTTGGAGAGAAGTCTACACATCCCATAGTACACCTGACCCCCTCCACCCCTAAAGCTGTTTCCAAGTAGACACTTTGAGCTTCCAGGGACCAAGATTGCCTTGGAAGGAAATCAGAGCAAAGGGCTGAAAAGGCACCCCCTCACACAGTCCCCTCCCCCGCCCCCAAGGTGAGGCTGACCCTCACTTACACACATTGACCCACTCTGTGACCTTGCACTCATCACACAGCACATAGCAGCACCAGTGGAAGCGGCAATGGCAGCGCTCAACTCGTGTCTGCCTGAGCATGTTGTGCCCACGGCCACAGCACAGGCTGCCACAGCCATCCAACAGGCGGCTGGTCTTGTTGCAGGCCCGGCCCCTTGTCCCTGGGGAGCCCATAGTGGGATCTCGCTCACAGAAGTCAGGAGACTTCTCAAAGTAGACCAGCTCTCCTGAGAGGCGACGGGGACGCAGACGGGGTTGGAAGGCTCCAGAATTTCGGTTGTGGGTATCGATGAAGATGGCCCGGCCCAGCCGCTCCCTCAACGCTGCCCCCACTGCCCGGAACTCTGGGGCCGCTCTCCAGCATGTCTTGAACTGGCAGCTGCCTGACGTGCCATGGCATTTGCATTTCCGCTTCAGGTTTTCAGTTACCACCTAGAGCATTGGGGAGAAGAGGTGAAGTGGAGGGCAGCAAATGGACAGAGCACAGAGGCACAGGAGAGGGAATGGAACAGAGAACACGGGGAGGGACAAATTGAAGCAAGAATAACATGGAATATCAGAAGAGAAAGGGCATTGCAGTTAGTTAATAGCCCAGCTCCCTCATTTTATGAGTGCAGAATTGAAAACAGAGTGGTGTGATTTGTCCATCTTCCATCAACAGCTGGTAATAGAGCCAAGACTCAACTCCAGTTGTCCTGACTCCCGATCCAGTGCTCTTTCCATCGTAAGCACTTACAAAATTGGAATTCTGGCCCACAGCATGCCTAAATTCTGTAGGAAAGGCAGCTGTAATAATAGCTACTATGTAGTGAGCCAAAAATGATGTACTATGCTGGGTGTACTATTTGCTAGCTCAGTCTGTTTTGTTTTTCTGTTTTTGTTTTCAGACAGTCTCGCTCTTGTCACCCAGGCTGGAGCACAGTGGTGCAATCTCAGCTCACTGCAACCTCCGCCTCCCAGGTTCAAGTGATTCTCCTGCCTCAGCCTCCCAAGTAGCTGGGATTACAGGTGCCCACCACCATGCCTAGCTAATATTTGTACTTTTAGTAGAGATGGGGTTTTACCATTTTGGCCAGGCTGGTCTCGAACTCTTGACCTCAGGTGACTTGCCTATCTCGGCCTCCCGGAGTGTTGAGATTACAGGCGTGAGCCACTGCACCCAGCCCAGTCTGTTTTTATATATATAATTTTTTTTTTTCAAAGATGGGATTTCACCATGATGGCCAGGCTGGTCTTGAACTCCTGACCTCAGGTGCTCCACCCACTTCGGCCTCCCAAAGTGCTAGGATTACAGGCATGAGCCACTGCGCCCAGCTATATAATTTTTTTTTAATGTAGAGATGGGGTCTCACTACTTTGCTCAGGCTGGTCTTGAACTTCTGGCCTCAAGCAATCCTCCTGCCTTAGCCTCTAGAAGTCCTGAAATTATAGGCATAAGCCACCACATTGGCCTGCCAGCTCAGTCTTAATAACATTGTAAGGTAAGTATCATTAGGCTCTGTACAAATGCAAACCTGAGGCTGGGTTACTGCTGATGGTGAGGTGAATATCAGTCACTCATCACACCTTATCCTATTATTCCCAGGTGCCTCTCAAATGCTAACCAGGCCTCAAAAGCTGGGAAGACCCAGGACAAGACGTACACACATACCTGGCGCCCCACCCTGTTGTTGTGGATTCTCATTCGTGCCTGGATGTCCCGGGGAGCTTCCCTGGAATCCAAGAAATCCCGAGAGAACTTCTCTCCAAAGTCCATGTCATGGTTACAGCCACCCCATTCCCATGTGTCCTGGGGGCCAGGACTGGGGTCTGAGCCAGGGCCAGGGCTGGGCAGAGAGTAGGGGAAACTCTTGCCTCGGGACAGTGTCTGCAGCTGCAGCAGTTTGGCCCTCAGCCGATCCTGCTCACCACTGCCCTTCAAGCCACAGCCACAGCTCACCAGCTTGCCCAGGCTGCAGGCCGTGGCTACTGCATGCATGACGCCAGCAGCCAGCATGGAGAAGGAAAAAGCACTTTCTCGGAAACCTGGGGATGAGAAGGGTGTGATGGTGGAGGTAAGGTTGACAGGCAGCTGAGAGTGGGGAGGCAGAAGGAAATAAACAGCTCCCCTCCAATTCCAGAAATTCCTAACTGAATCCTGACTCTGCCATTTACCAGCTGAGTGATTTGGAGGAAAGTCATGGGACAAGGAAGGGTACAGAAAGCACAGAGCCTCAGATTCTTCATCTCTAAAGGGAGGTGGGAGATGATGGGTCAAGATGATCTCTGAGGCCCATTGTCACTCTGTAAGTCTGTGATTTTCAGGTGTAGATGAAAGTGCTAGCCCAGAAGGAGAGACCCCTGGAGCTGGGAGATGACTAAGAGGGAGTCCCTGAGGTCTTTGAAGATGTGTACAACCTGAGTTCTACATCTGAAAGCCTTAGAAATTCTCCCAACCCTGCAGGGAGCTTGCGTGAGGTGGGAGCAGAGCCTTTGTGGTTCTGCATTTTTTTTTCTTCACTTCAGGGTTATTTTAATCAGTCTTTTAACCAACCTACCTTTCCACCACCCAGCACCCCCAAAGCACTGGAGCCATGGAGCTCCATTCTTCCCAGGATGTAGTTTTATATTTGCCCTTCAAGACTGCCCTTTTTATGTTCATCCTAACCTGCTATTACCCTATAAAACACTGAGAGGAGGAGAGAGGTGGGGGAGTGATTTTCCCTTAGGCCCTCTTAAAAGGTTGGCTTATTTGTTATGTTTTGGGGGTCACAGAGGCTCAGGATGCCAAGCCTTTCACAGACTTAAATAAACGTGCTCACCATTTGGGTGTCCAAGACTTCCCCTACACCAGGCCCTGTGGGGAAGGAGGGGGACCCTCACTTCATTTTAGGCAGGGGCTCTCTGGAGCCCTGAGAAGATGAGAGACAGCACCCCCTTAGAGGACAGGCCTCTCCTACCCCAAGATCCAGGGCTCCTGGGCCAGCATCCTGATCCCCCCAACTCCAACCCTCCAGGGGTGAAGCTGTTTGCACAAGTCTTGGGAATTCCCCTGCAGATGGCAGCTGCCTATTAACCCCATAGTCCCCAGAGCACTGCCCCCATCTCAGGGCTGAGCCCGTGGATCTTTACACCTCAGGGAGTGAACTCCAGCAGGGAAGGGGAAGAGGCAGCCATGCCTCCCAGACCATGCCTTCCAGACCATGCCTCCCAGACCAGGCCAGCAGTGACCTGTTCTCCCCCCCTCCAGCCGTTCCTCACCTGCTCAGGTGAGCAACACCTGGAGCCCCCACAGCACAGAGGAGGGGACTGGCTCCCCACCTTCAAAGTCATCAGGGTCTTTGTTCCCAGCTTTGGCTCCTGGGAACCCCAGCAATTAGGGGAGCAGGTTTAACCCTTAAACAGTGCGTGTGGGGGGGTGTCACCCAACCCCTGCTGAGACACTGGGACACCAGCCTGGACTTGTCCAGCCAAGATGCTGGGGGAGAGAAAATGGGGGAGGGAATAAGGGGGTGTTTGAAGCTCCCAGGACTGGGGTATCTCTTGTTCACAGGTGCAACCCAGATCAAGCTGGGCGGAGGCAGGAAAGAGGGGCCCTAGGGTAGGAGAGCAGGGACAGCTGCCTTGCCGGCAGCACGCAGGTGGAAGTTAGGCGCGCAGGGGCCCAGACTGGTGGCCAGACCTGGCTCAGAGCGGTTCTGAGAGGCGGGGGGGAATTCCAGGAGAGGCCCCTCCCGGAGCCACAAACCCGTCCCTTCCCGCCTCCACGCGCCTTGGCCTGCCCCCCACCCCCTAGCCTCGGCGGCAGCGCAGACCCGCCCAGCCAGGCTCACCGCGCTTGAGGATGGCGCTGTGGTGCGGCAGGCGGCCGCCGCCCTCGAGCGCTGAGCAGTTCCAGCGCTGGTCGCGCAGCTGATGCTGACACTCGTGGACCGCGATGTGGAGACCCTGAAGCGCGGACGCCGTCACGTCGGGGTTGCGCAGGCACAGGCCTAGCTGCCGCTTGCTCAGGCCGGACAGCATCAGGCACACGCTGTTGGCCGTCAGCGGCGGCTCGCCAGGCAACTTCAGGCCCAGAATCTCATTGCTTAGAGCCCTGGGAACCAAGAAGGCGTCTGGGGTCTGCGGTCCAGACCCCAACAACTCTCCCCACCCCGGTGCTTCTCCTGTGGCCTGGGAGACAGAGGGAACTGCTCACCGACTGCACAACGCCAGGAACAGGAGACCCGCGAGGCCCGAGGGCGGAGGCCGCGGCAGGGGCTCCTCCAGCATGTCGAAGCCCGGAGGCTCCGGTGTGCAGATCGATCAGGACCTGCGGGACAAGGAGACCTGATGCGGGTTCAGGAATAGGGCGGCTCGCCTGGGGAACCAAGTGATGCCCTTCTTCGGGCTCCTAACCCACCGATGCCACCCTACTGACCCTTCTCATTCCTCCCCAAACAAAACAATAAGAATCACCACTTGATTCCCAGAGTCCCTGAGGCTTGGAGGTCTTAAAGAGGAAGAGTCCAGGTGTAGTCCCAGCTCAGGACTCACGTGAGCACCGCTGGAACCCCGTCCAATCAGACACAAAGCCCGGCACACAGACACACTCACATGCAAACTCAGACACACAGATTCACAAACACTTGCTCCACAACCTCGCCTACTGTTCCCTTTTCCAGGGCCCCATGACTAGCTTCCCAGCCCTCAAAGGGCTAGGGAGTGGGAATAGGAGGGGGTTCCCCACCACCTAAGGGGTTGTCACCTCCAGGAGTCATCAAGGCCAAGCTGGCTCCATAAGAAAGGTCTAAGAATGGGCTCCCCACCCACACTGCACCCTCCCTGAGTAGCAAGGAAAGAGGAGGGGCTCCAGGTGCAGGAAAGGTGGGAAGAAGAGCCTGGCTCCCTTCTAAAAGGGACCTTGGTGCAGACTGAATCCTCTTCCCTACCCCCCACTTGCGTAACCACAAGCTCTCCTCCTCCATAGGCACCGGTCTGGTCCTCACCCCTTCGCTCTCAAGTTCATTGCTTTCTAAATCTGGGGGCACTCCTTTATTCCCTGTCTTTATCTCTAGCAATATCTCTGGCTCTCTAAGCATCTCCGTGCTTCTGTGGGTGGATGCGTGTCTGTCTGTCTGACTACACACGTGCCTGTCTCTTCCCGGTGTTCATGTCCCTGCCCTCCCTGCTTTCCCAGGTCTAATTACCTCCAGTGGTTTGGGTGCGGGGTCTGAGACGGGCACGGTTGGGTTGCCTGAGCTTCACTAGTCCTGCTTAATCCGTGGGGAGACTGTGCTGGGTTCTGTCCCCTTGGCAGAGCTGCATTCTTCCAGGGCCGGGCCACTCCTCTTCACCGCTTCCCCAGCGCTGCTCCGCTGGCCGTGGGGAGGAAGGGAGGGAGGAAGGGAAGGAGAGAGAGCTAGCAATCCGGCAAGCAAAGGACTGGGGGCTCTGGCTCTGCTCGAGCCAAGCTCACAGAGGCTCTGCCGGGCTGACGGAGCTTCGGCCCCTCCCTGAGCCTGGGGCTTCCCCACCCTACCCTGCACTCCCCGCCTTGACCAGGCAAACGAAGCTGCTCCCCCTCCTCCCAGCGTACACACACACACACACACCCCTTCTCCTGGATGCCTGGGTTCAGGCTTGGCCCCACTGAAGAAGGAGGTGGCCAGAGTTCCTCTTACCTGCTCTGGGGTCACCAAGGCTGCAGGGAGGGTATAGTAACCTTCCTAGAGAGCCAGAATGTGGCCCAAGTGGCCACATCTTTCAACACTTCTTTTTGCATCAGTTTCTCCAGCGAGATCAAGGTGGCTGGAAGGTGCCTTTGACAAGATGAAGATGGAGCCGGACAGTCTTTGGGCTTCTCAGTGTGAGACAGTCACATGTGGTGCCCATACCCAGGGCACTCAGAGCAGGCAGGAGAAGTGCAGGTCTGGGCAGCTTGGTTCCCACCCACCATCAAGCCTCGCGCCTGCCCCTTTGGAGGGGTCAGCTTTCACCTCAGTTTGGCCCTGGTGGAGGTTCAGGTAGCCCCAGAGATCCTCAGCCTGCCCTGATGCTTCCTTGCTGGCAGGGATGCTTACCAATAGAGGTCTCTTACCCTTCTCGGGATTCCCCAGTCTGCACTTTGGGTGGCCTGGATTCCTGCTCCAAGCTGCAGACTTCCTTCTGATGGGATGAGGAGGGCCTTGGGATCCAAAATTGAGCCAAGTCCAAGGGCAGTCGGAAAAGAGCCTGGTCTTGGGGTGCACAGGCAAAGGCAAACTGCCTTTGGGAGATCCAGTGGCAGCGAAGGGGTTAGGTGCCACTGTGCTCCCGCCTGACTCACCCTCGAAGCTCTAACCACTGTGGGCTATTTTTGCCAGAGAGGGGCCCCAGGCTTTCCAGCCGCCCCCCCCCCGCCCCTGCCAGACCGCAGCCCAAGGCATGGCTGGCCCCACACGCCCCAGGCACATTGACTCAGACTGCCCCCCAGCAAGCAGAGGCACAGGGATGATACCCACAACCACAGTCACCTCTTCCTTGGTGGTGGCGGTGCAGCTCTGCTGGGCAGTCAGCCTCCAGCCTGTGCTGCTGGAGGTCCTGCCCATGCTGCATGGGTCACTGTTGGATAGCGGGCACAGCAGTCTGAGACAGGAGATCATGCAACTTATATCTGTTGGGATATTTATGGATCACCGTTATGTGTCAGGCTGTGAGCAGTCTGGGGAGGTGACAGTGCCATGGTCCCTGACACTGGACAGCCTGGACCAGGTTGCTTTTCTCTGATTCCCCACCTCTGGGATGGGGAAGAGGGAGCCCTAGATTTCCTGACCCTTCTTCCCATTTAGAGGACAAGAGCCAAACCATGTGTGGTTTTCGAGGTCATCAGAATCTGCAAGCCCCATCTCATAGTTTTCATCCTTACACCTGGATTCATGATCTGCCAGTGTCCTTATCCTTTCTCCTGCAGTCAGCCTGGGATTCCTGCCAGGTCCTTGGAATAGGGGAATGAGGTTGCCTAAGCCTCTCTTCTCCATGGGGACCTCATGGACATCTGTATTTCTCCATGCGGCTCTGGGTCCCCCTTAGGTTTGGGATTATTTTTTGCCTTCTGATTGTACCCTTGTCAGTCTCCAGCATGCAGTCAGGTGCCAAGAAGCATTGAAGGACAGAACTACTATAATAGGTTTCAACTTCCTAGTGACCCCAGGTCTCCCCAAGTGGGACTGTTCCAAATCCAAGGACCCAGAGTCCTGCTCATTCTCTCTACTGAAGCCCATATCTGGGACAAGAGGCCACAGGCCGGCAGACTGGGTGGCCTGAGCTGGCCCACAGTGCCCTCAGCCCGACCGGCTGGCCTGAGCACTGACCCGCAGGCAGCTAGAGGGCGGTCGGACAGGCGGGGCCTGGAGAGGGCTGTGGGTGCACACCCATTGCCTAATACCCCAAGCACGCGGCCAGCTCCAGGAAAGGGGAGGGGCGGGAACCAGAGAGACCTTGACATGGGTTGGGGCCAATGACAGGAGGGGGAAAATGGGGGGCTTTCATCACTGCAGGGAGGGACTAGGAGCAAACTGGTGTCCCTTCCCCTAGATGAGAAGGCTGGAGGGCTGCCCTTCCCATCCTAGGGATGGAGGGTGTAACGAGAGCAATGTGGGAAGAACACTGGGGCTCTGGAGGGCGGGAGTCAAAGAAAAGAGTGGGGGACCCTGGAGATTGGGGGATGTCGAGCAACTGAGGCGGTGGCTAAAGCCTCAGAAGCTTTCTCCTCCTCCTCCCCCCATGTTTGCCTTGGCCCGGGGTCCCGGGTGACTCATCTGTTGCTGAGCCGCTGATAGGGGCGGCCAGGCCCGGGGAACCCAAATTATAGACCCAGGAGGGATGGATGCGCCCGTGGTGGTGAGCTCAGCTGCGCTGCCCACCCTCTGCCTCATGCGCCTTCTGCTGCAGCACCGTAGGCCACCACCTGGAGGCACCAAAGGGCCCGCAGGCCAATGGTATACTGGACTTTCAGGAAGACCCCACTTTCAGCAGTTCACCCCAACAAATCCGTGGGATTACCTTAGAATTTTGCCCCCTTCTCTACTCAGGCCTAATGGATGGGCTGTGCCTTTCCAGACCAAGGGGGCAGTGCTGCCCGTGCGTGCTTCAAAGGAGGGTAGGCTCCTCTGCCCACAAACTCTCCCTGGTCCCCTGCTTCCTCACCAGATCCCAAAGTCAAAGCAAAGCTCCTCTCCCTTCTAAGATCTCACCTCTACCCCTATTCCAGGGGGTGGATTGCTACCGATTTTCAACTTCAAGCCTTTAAAGTCATCCATGGTCAAAACTGATACAGAGAAAAATGAAGCAGGGTGAAGGACATTAGTAGTGGGATTCTATTTTACAAAGGGAGAGGAAAAACTAAGTGAGGGAACAAATACATGGAGAGATCTGAGGAAGGGCATTTTAGAAGACAGAAAAGCAGGAGCACAGACCCTTAGAAAGGAGCATGCTTGGTTCAAAGGATTAGCAAAGAAGCCAGCGGGGCTGGTGGGGAGGAATTCACAATGGAGAGCGTGATAGTCAGTGAAGCTCAGGAAGGAAGGCCCCTTTATTCTGAGTGAGATGGGGACTCACTGGAAAATTTTGAGCAGAGGGTTGAACTAATCAGACTTCTGTTTTGGGAGGCCGAGGTGGGTGGATCACCTGAAGTCAGGAGTTCGAGACCAACCTGACCAATGTGGAGAAATCCCATCTCTACTAAAAATACAAAATTAGCCGGGCATGGTGGTGTGCACCTATAATCCCAGCTACTCGGGAGGCTGAGGCAGGAGAATTGCTTGAACTCGGGAGATGGAGGTTGCAGTGAGCCAAGATTGCGCCATTGCACTCCAGCCTAGACAATAAGAGCAAAACTCCATCTCAAAAGAAAAAAAAGAAAAGGAAAAGAAAGAAAGAAATTGGCTCTAGTAATTAAATCAACCATTTTGAGTTTTGCAGTAAAATGCAGCACTGAAACGGAGCAATCTTGGGCAGTAACGTGGGGTCTAATGAAGTTTTGGGGTATATCAGAGGGGTACTATTGCAGCATGTCTGCATGCTTATGGGTATGTTCCAGGAGAGAGCCAAACGGATGACGCAGGAAAGAAAGAGGGGACAGTTGATAACATGATGATTTGATCTAAATAGAAATTTGGGTGCTTGCTTTGGCATTACGTATTCTCAAACTGGAATGATACAGAGATTAGCATCGCCCCTGCACAAGGATGACACGCAAATTGATGAAGCATTTCACATTTTGAAAAAAGAAAAAGAAATGTGAACCAGGCCATACACACTGTGACCCAGACCGAGGGGCCTTCCCCTCTTCCCCCTCCTCCTGGTAGGTGGAATGTTGGAACAAAGCACAGCAGCTCCTTTCCCCTCTTCCCACCTCTGCTTGACACCAGTGGTCACAGACAGGGCTCCCATATCTTCCAGCCAGCTCCCCACCCTCATGGTGTTGTATCAATCCACTAGGCCAAAAGATGTGACTCAGGCCCCCGTGAGGAGAAACTCCTAAGGGATAAAGGACAGACTCTCCATGGTACATTGTTCATTTACTTGAGCCATCTATGCCAGGTGCTTTCTGTGGGGGCTACTGGGTTTGGATCTGTGGAGGATGCTGGATCAGTACACCTTCTCCCTCAGGGGTGAATCCTTGGATGGGCCAGATATACTAGGCTGGGCAAAGGGGAAAAAAAGGGAAAGAAGGCCAGGCACAGTGGCTCAGCACTTTGGGAGGCTGAGGTGGGTGGATCACGAGATCAGGTGTTCGAGATCAGCCTGACCAACATGGAGAAACCCCGTCTCTACTAAAAGTACAAAATTAGCTGGGCATGGTGGCACATGCCTGTAATCCCAGCTATGTGGGAGGCTGAGGCAGGAGAATCATTTGAACCTGGGAGGTGGAGGTTTCAGTAAGCTGAGATCGTGCCATTGCACTCCAGCCTGGGCAACAAGAGTAAAACTCCCATCTAAAAAAAAAGGGGGGGAGAGGACATTTCTATCTAAAATAACTTTCATCAGGCTTCATTTGGGTTAATATACATCTCATTTAAAACACAAGTGCCCAGGAACATTAATTAAACTGACCTGGATTTATTCCTTAGAGTAATTTTCCTGCCTTGGAAGGGAAGCCTAGTCATTTCTGGGACTTGAGACTGTTTAGGTTCAGGCCTGGGGAAATTTCTCAGTCAGAAGGCATCCCAAAAAACAAGGGTGATGAAAACAGTGAGAGCTAGAACTCAAAAGGGAGGCAAGAAGGCCCTAAAAATTATGCTTACCTATCTATCAATTTTGAGAAGCGTTCCCAGCCTGCAACTCCTGCACACTGGCAAGCAGCTGGTAAGATAGGAAGAGCATGGGCTTTGAGTCAAATTGGTCTGGGTTTTAATCTGGCTCTACCATTGATTTATTAGATGTGGAGCTTGGACAACTGCCTGATCTATTTTAATTCTGTAAAATGGGGAGAGAGAAGAGATGTAAAGGTCTTCCCTCCTTCCAGGGGCCATCTGTGTGTGGTGGTGGGGCGTGATAACCAGGCTGGCAGTGCCCCCTATTCCCCATATAGGGTACAGCAACCACTTCTTCAATAGGAGGCCAAAGTGGCCCTAAAGCTGAGTAGGAGTCCCTGGGAGAGAAGAGAAAAGTGTACAATGGATGAGATGGTCACAGGCACTCTGGGTCTCCCAGTGTGGTGGGAACCAAAGCTTTGGGGGAAGACAGAAAGTTGGCAGAAAAATCCAAAGAGAGGCCGGGCGCGGTGGCTCAAGCCTGTAATCCCAGCACTTTGGGAGGCCGAGGCGGGTGGATCACGAGGTCAAGAGATCGAGACCATCCTGGCCAACATGGTGAAACCCCGTCTCTACTAAAAAGACAAAAAATTAGCTGGGCGTGGTGGTGCGTGCCTGTAATCCCAGCTACTCAGGAGGCTGAGGCAGGAGAATTGCCTGAGCCCAGGAGGCGGAAGTTGCGGTGAGCCGAGATCGCGCCATTGCACTCTAGCCTGGATAACATGAGTGAAACTCCGTCTCAAAAAAAAAAAAAAAAAAAAAAAAAAAAAAAAACCTCTAAAAAAAAAAAAAAAAAAAAAAAGAAAGAAAAATCCAAAGAGAAGCAAACACATGGAGACACAAGTTCAATGCAGGCAGCAACCTGTGTCTTCCCAGTCCTCTCCATCACCATATGTACACTGGACATCCACACCACATCCCATCCTTTCTGAGCCTAGGCCTCAGAGTCTTAGCCACTCCAGGTTGGTTTCACCTCCATACCATCTTGGTTGTAGGCTTGGGTCTCTCCCCCAATGACATGCACTGGTTGACACATGCCACAGTGTGACACACCATAGGATGCCACGAGGTACAAAGGGCAACAGAGTGACGCATACACACATATTTAATCTTCCCATGCTCACGCTCATCCACCCACTCCACACACAGTCCAGACACCCTCCATCCCTCAATCATGCTTCTGCGTCTCCTTCTGACAGTTGCCACCTCCTTTCTGACACACTGCCCCAGGCGGTGACTGTGACAAGATGACTCCATGACCCTTTCTGACTTGAGCTAAATTCCAAAATTCTTTGGAAAGTTTCCTAACATCCTTAGTCAGAACAAGGAGTTTCTGCACGTACCAACACACAGGAGGATGCACCCTCAGAACACAGCACATTCTCACTCCCACCCGTATTCACATTGTCCCACTTCTCTCCCTGTCTCTCTCTCTCTCTCTCTCTCTCTCTCACACACACACACACACACACACACACACACACACACAGCACCACTTGTGCACTTCTTCTGACCCACATGAACAAACTGCCTGCTGCTTCAGGTTTCTCTCCACCGCTAGGATCCTTTTGGTCAGCTCACCCCCACAACTCATACCCGGGATTTCCCTGACCACAGCCGCACTCACGCCCCCGTCTCCCCCTTTTCCTTCTCTGTCCAGCCATCGAGGGTTCCTGGGCGGTTAAGCTTCTCCCCGGAGTCGCTGCCCAGAACCACAGCTTTCCTTCCCACATTCAGGATGGGGGAGAGAGGAGACGCCGGCGGGGCCCGGGGTGACGTCGAGGGGACAGCCCCACGGCTGCGAGGCGGGCTGGGCCCCTGGCTGGCTCTACCCGCAGCACACGCTCGCAGCGCCCCCTGGCGGATGCTAGTCCCCGACGGGCTCCGGACGCTAAGCGGAGTGAGGCGGGCTCGCGTGGGAGGGTGTCCCAAGGGGAGGGGTCCGCGGCCAGTGCAGGCCCGGAGGCGGGGGCCACCGGGCAGGGGGCGGGGGTGAGCCCCGACGGCCAGCCCGTCAGCTCTCAGCTCAGACGGGCGGGAACCACAGTCCCGCTCGCTGCCCATTGTCTGCGCCCCTAACCGGTGCGCCCTGGTGTCACAGTGCGGCCCGGTGGGGCAGCCTCCTCCCGTCATTTCAGCCAGCGCCGCAACTATAAGAGGCGGTGCCGCCCGCCGTGGCCGCCTCAGCCCACCAGCCTGGACCGCGAGCCATGCTGTCCGCCGCCCGCCCCCAGGGTTGTTAAAGCCAGACTGAGAACTCTCGCCACTGCCGCCACCGCCGCGTCCCGTCCCACCGTCGCGGGCAACAGCCAAAGTCGCCGCAACTTGTAGCACAGAGCGGGCAAAGCCAGGCAGGCCATGGGGCTCTGGGCGCTGTTGCCTGGCTGGTTTTCTGCTACGCTGCTGCTGGCGCTGGCCGCTCTGCCCGCAGCCCTGGCTGCCAACAGCAGTGGCCGATGGTGGTAAGTGAGCTAGTGCGGGGTCGCCACTTGTCCCGCGGCACACAGCCAGGGGCCAACCCTACCCAGCTCCCACGCTCTGGGATCCGTCCGCCGACAGGCTCCCTCCCCGTTCTGACTTCCCTCCGCGACGACACCGAAGGGAGATCTGGAGTGGAGTTGCCCCAGACTCCAGCTCTGTAGAAGTGGGGCGAATGATCCGCCCGCGGAGGCCTAAGATACCCCAGGCAGGGAGCCCACTCTCATCTAGCACCGCCCTTCCCGTTCGAGCGCCAACTCCAGCCTCACGGCGGTGGCCTCACCACAGGTTTTCCCACCTCGGGAAGTGAAGGGCCAGGCGTTCGCTTAGAAAGGAGGGAAGAGGGTGGGAACTCCTAAGCATTTCACGCCTTGGATGGGCAAGAATGGCAGGCCATTATTACCTCGCTCAGGCTGACCGGAAGAGGCTCGGAGATCCAAGGTAGAAACTCCGTCCTCGGGTGCCCTCTCTGTCTCCGGACCTAGGGCTCAGGCGAGCAGCCCTGGGACTCCTGGGCACACACAGGTCTGGAAGCCCAGTTCTTTAAATTAGTGAGCCTGGGAGCGCAAAGTCATTACCGCATTATTGATCTCCCGCCACCCTCTCCAGGCACGTACCGCCAGGAAGAGGACCGGGTGGCACAGTTTTTATGGTTAAGGTGCGGGTCCCCTTCCTGAACCTCAGCTATCATATGTCCCACCAGGGGTATTGTGAACGTAGCCTCCTCCACGAACCTGCTGACGGACTCCAAGAGTCTGCAACTGGTACTCGAGCCCAGTCTGCAGCTGTTGAGCCGCAAACAGCGGCGTCTGATACGCCAAAATCCGGGGATCCTGCACAGCGTGAGCGGGGGGCTGCAGAGCGCCGTGCGCGAGTGCAAGTGGCAGTTCCGGAATCGCCGCTGGAACTGCCCCACTGCTCCAGGGCCCCACCTCTTCGGCAAGATCGTCAACCGAGGTGGGTGCCCAGGAAGGCGACGCTTCCGGGAGCAGGGGAAACGCGGGGTCACCCCCAGGGCATGGGCGGGCGTGTGCAGAGGTGTCTCGGGCGCCTGGAGGGTCACACAACCCGCCAAGTGCCTCGTGTCCAGCGCCAGCTCCGGGCCAGACTTCTACAAGGCGTTTTCCAGCCGTGCACCCTGGAAACGAAGCTTAACTTTTCTGAGCTACTACCCCAGATAAAGGGGTTCGGGTCTCGGATGCCGGCTGACCACCGCTTTCCCCCAGCCTCTCTCAAAAGCTCCTGGGAAGCCGCTCTCTGCAGACGTGTGTCTTGCCTCCCGCCCGGCAAGGCTTACATCGCCAAAATGGGCCGAAAGTTTTGGACTGCGAAGAAGTCTTGGGGATGTATTGTTCTTCCGCTCCCCTCTCTTCGGTTTTTCTCTCTGGGGCTGCTCCACTTCCGCTATCGAGCCAAAATACGCCCTGGAGCGTCCCAGCAAGGTGTGATTACGCCCGTGGACGTGGCTGCGTGCCCACGCACCTGCTTTCTCTATGAGCCCTAGGGACCAGCTTTCCAGCACTGCCGCCCTGGCTCTCAAGACTCTAAGTGCGGAGTCGGGGGTGGGATTCCAGGGTCCCAAGCCCTTCACTGAGAGTGCTGGCCGTGCCCCACGTGCCCCCTTGCTGATCCCCGCTCCTTTCTTCCACAGGCTGTCGAGAAACAGCGTTTATCTTCGCTATCACCTCCGCGGGGGTCACCCATTCGGTGGCGCGCTCCTGCTCAGAGGGTTCCATCGAATCCTGCACATGTGACTACCGGCGGCGCGGCCCGGGGGGCCCCGACTGGCACTGGGGGGGCTGCAGCGACAACATTGACTTCGGCCGCCTCTTTGGCCGGGAGTTCGTGGACTCCGGGGAGAAGGGACGGGACCTGCGCTTCCTCATGAACCTTCACAACAACGAGGCGGGTCGCACGGTGAGCTTGGAGAGGCTCCGCACCCTAAACGGAGCGGCAGGGGCCAATCTCGGGCTGGGGAAGTGACAGTCGGTGAGACAAGGCAAGGGGCACCAGGAGAGGGCGTCCTGGGAGAGCGGGAGGCTTGGAACGAAGCCGGAGGATAGAGGAGACAGTCAGTGGCTGAGGGGAAAGGGATGCCTGTCCCGCTAGCAGGTGAAACAGAAGAGGTTAGAAATCAAGCACAGCCTCTTCACTGGACAGATTCGAAAAACACGCCTGAGAGGCCGAGACTGACTCTCCGGGGCGGAGCAAGGTTGGGCCGGGTTTCCAAATCTCAGCGGAACTTTTCGCGCCTCCCTTCTGGGCTCAGCTAGGCCTGGCCTTTTGCTGAGGTCCGGCCCCCGTGGCGTCCGGGAGGGGGCAGTGTCTGGGCGCTTGGCTCTGGCCAGGTGCCCTGGGACACTCTTTCTTCCTCTCTCCCCGCAGACCGTATTCTCCGAGATGCGCCAAGAGTGCAAGTGCCACGGGATGTCCGGTTCGTGCACGGTGCGCACGTGCTGGATGCGGCTGCCCACGCTGCGTGCCGTGGGCGACGTGCTGCGCGACCGCTTCGACGGCGCCTCGCGCGTCCTCTACGGCAACCGCGGCAGCAACCGCGCTTCGCGGGCGGAGCTGCTGCGCCTGGAGCCGGAAGACCCGGCCCACAAACCGCCCTCCCCCCACGACCTCGTCTACTTCGAGAAATCGCCCAACTTCTGCACGTACAGCGGACGCCTGGGTACAGCGGGCACGGCAGGGCGCGCCTGTAACAGCTCCTCGCCCGCGCTGGACGGCTGCGAGCTGCTCTGCTGCGGCCGGGGCCACCGCACGCGCACGCAGCGCGTCACCGAGCGCTGCAACTGCACCTTCCACTGGTGCTGCCACGTCAGCTGCCGCAACTGCACGCACACGCGCGTACTGCACGAGTGTCTGTGAGGCGCTGCGCGGACTCGCCCCCAGAAACGCTCCCCTCGAGTCCTCCCCCAAACAGACTCGCTGGTACTCAAGACCCTGTTATTCTCCCACCCGAGTACCTCCGGTCACGCTCCCCGCGGTTCATACGTATCCCATCTCTCCCATTTCCTCCTCCCGGGGGACTCCTCAAACCACTTGCCTGGGGCGGCAGGAACCCTCTTGCCATCCTGATGGACCTGTTCCGGACCTACCTCCCTCCCTCTCCGCGGGAGACCCCTTGTTGCACTGCCCCCTGCTTGGCCAGGAGGTGAGAGGATGGGTCCCCTCCACCGTGGAGTCAGCTCCTGACGGTGTCACTCTGCCTCCTCCATCGCGCCAGCGACCTCTCTCCCTCTCTTCCCCTTTGTCCTGCGTTTTCTCCGGGTCCTCCCAGGCCCCTTCCTATTCTCCTGCCGTGGGTGCAGACCCTGAACCCACACTTGAACATCAGGGCCTTTCTCCTCCCCACCTGCAGCTGCAACGGGAGGTTCCAGGGTAAAAGGGCAGCTGTGATGATGTGGAAATGAGGTTGGGGGAACCAGCAGAAATGCCCCCATTCGCCCACTCTCTGTTGTGGAGCCACTGAACAGCTGTGAGCCATGCCTCCCTGGGCCACCTCCTACCCCTTCCTGTACTGCCTCCTCATCAGTGTGTAAATAATTTGCACTGAAACGTGGATACAGAGCCACGAGTTTGGATGTTGTAAATAAAACTATTTATTGTGCTGGGTCCCAGCCTGGTTTGCAAAGACCACCTCCGCCCCAACCCAGTCCCTCTCCACTCTTCTCTCCTTTCTCCCTGCTGCCTTTTCTGGTCCCTCTTCTCTCCTCAGTTTCTCAAAGATGCGTGTGCCTCCTGGAATCAGTATTTCCTTCCCCTGTAGCTATTAGTGGCTCCTCGCCCCCACCAATGTAGCATCTTCCTCTGCAGAATAAAATCTCTATTTTTATCAATGACTTGGTGGCTTTTCCTTGAATGCAGAACACAACCTTGTGGTGTCCCCTTTCCTCTCCTTTTACCACTCCCAGGCTTGAAGGCTTATCTCTCTCAAACAAATAGAATGCACTGTTGGGTGACTGGCTTCCTAGCTTTGCCAGAGGGCCCTGAGATTCTGACCCTTGGATGACCCTAATGAGACCACTGGGAATCCAGCTCTCCTGAGAGAGGAACCTGGTCAGGAGCCAAACAATCCTGCAGGGTTCTTCCACTAACTGTGTGATATGGGCAAGTGCATGACTCAGTGAATGTGGGTTAAACGATCTCAGTGCCTGCTTTTCCTGCCTGCAAGAGCTGTTGAGAAAATAGCTGCTATTGAATAACTGTGGCCATGTTCCAAAAAGTAGGAAGAAAAACTAAAGCAGAAAGGGTGCTGCTGCCCCTGATGTAGAGCTGTTGGTCCCTGAAGCCTGGCTTCTTCAGCTGTGGTCAGGGCATTAGACAAGGTTGAAGCACTTCCACCACCAGAAAAGTAAATGCTGGCCTGGTGCAGTGGCTGGCGCCTGTAATCCCAACACACTGGGAGATTGAGGCAGGCAGATCGATTCAGCCCAGGAGTTTGAGAGCAGCCTGAGCCACATAAGGAGTCTCTCTCTCTCTCTCTCTCTCTCTCTCATATATATATATATACACACACACACACACATACATATATATTTATATACACATATATACATACATGCATATATACATATATATATACACATACACACACACGCACCTATATATACACATACACACCACACACACACACACCTATATATACACACATGCCACACACACCATACACACACACCACACACACACACACACACATATATACTATATTTACCTAATAAATACCTTATTAGGACCCTAGCTCCCAATCTTGGGCTCAGGGGGATCCAGATAATAGGTGATGAGTCTGGTGCTGGACCCAGAAGCTCAGAGATGCTGATGAGAGAGAAGGGAGCAGGTGGGCTAGAATTCAAATTCAGGCTAGGCTTAAACCAATGTAACCAAAGGAAACCCTAATGTGGTCCATAACCAAACCACTAAGCTAGCTATTCACATAAAGAGCCAGAATGAGGATTCTGTTCCTAACACCACCAATGTGATACCTCTGTGTGCACATTCACCAGAGTCAGTGGGAGTTCTAATCCTGCTCACGGCCCTAAACCTATCTCTAACTCTAATCCTCTTCCTGTCCCTAGGTCTAGGTTGAACCTTAGCCTCAACCCTAACTTCAGACAAACACTAACCTCTTCTAAGCTCTAATGTCTGTCCCTAATCCAAACCCCTCCCTGCAGGGGAGGATCAGAAGGGCAAGGGAAGCTGTGAAACACCCCACCTATCCCCCAAGTGCAACAACTGCTCCCTGTCAGCTTGAGAATTTCCCCTTCTCCCCAGGCCTCTTCTGCTGTTAGTACCTCCCACCTCTCTCCTGGATGTGTGACCTGCTTTGGGATATGTAGAGGTAGGGGAATGGAGTCAGGAACTGCTCAATCCTACAACGACATCCCTTTCCCTTGCTTTCTACCTGCCGAGGTAACACCATCTCAGCTCTGATTCCTCAGCCTAGGGGGAGGAATAAAAACCTATTGATCCTGGGGAAGAGGCACCTGAAAAGCTTTGAGTTTCAGTAAAGAGCAACCTGCAGAGAATGTCCATCTATAAGCCAAAGAGCTATTAGATCCCCCGGCTCCCCAGATAAGAACTTAATAGGCTGCCAGAGGTGGGAGGGGGCTTGGGCCCCTGCTGGACAATGCCCAGGGTTGGGAAGAAGCAGCAGGGTAGAGTCAAAGCATTGGCAGCCACCACTCTCACCTAAGTTCGAACTCCAAGAATTGGAGTCAGTATCAGCTTTCAGGCCTGGAAGCTGTGTTCTCTGAACTGGATTGACAAACAGGAGCTGGAGGAAGAGCAACGGAAAGTGGTACATTCCTTTCTGTCCCTAACCAGACTTTCAGCAAATCTCGTACTTTCTCAGACTCAGTTGCCTTCTCTATCAAACAGGGATGGTTATTGTTACTTAACCGTTTAGAGAGGTAATGAGGTTCGGATGAGATGCGGTACATGAAAGCCTGGGTTATTTGAATACTCGCTGACACCTCTTCTGTACCAGGCATCTGCCAAATGCTGGAGATACAGTAATTTATAAACCACAG